TACTCAGTTTCTGAATCTGACTCAATTGGTATCGAATTATATATTTTAAAAAAATCCTCAGACAAGGAGCAGCTTGATGTGACTTGTGTTGAATTGATGGCTTTAAAGAAAAGACAGAATTCTCATGACACAATGTTCTCATCCAACAGGTTTATTTAAGATCATAAGCTTTTGGAGTTCTGCTCCTTTGACAGGTGAAGTTAAAGAAAAGAAACATCCTAATAACTATTAACTGAATATATGTTAATCTTTTTGAAATTGTCAAATTTGGCTGATGTTGATTTACAGGAGATATCTCTTCTGTCTTCCTCCAGGCAAATACTCCAAGGACCAAGATGATGGAATATTTCCTCGGGACAAAGCCAAGTGTGAGCAGCTGCTTCTAACTAACAGCAGGTATGTTACCGCGATCAGAATGGAGAATATCCTTTCCACAGTGACAGAGCAGATTGAATCAGACTTATATTGAGCTCAATTTCCAGAGACGTATCCAAAGATACAACCAACCAAACACAACTGAGGAAAGGCAAGTTTTTTTTAATGTTTCCATTGTCAATTGACATCATGCTAGTTCCAATTAACCTCATTGATAGCCCATTAACATTCACATCATGTTTGAAATGTTAATGGCTGACTCCTTGTTGAAAGTACTTGAACAAGAACGGAATCAAGTTTACATTTAGTAAGGGTATTTTATAATGTCACAAACCAGATAAAGAAAGACTCCTCCTCCCACCTTGATCATGACCCTGCCACTGACCACCAAAACATCATCTCCCAGACCATCCACAACCTCATCACCTCAGGTAATCTCCCACCCACAGCCTCCGACCTCATCATTCCCCAACCCCGCACCACCCATTTCTGCCTCCTTCCCAAAATCCACAAACCCGACTGCCCTAGTTGACCCGTTGTCTCTGCGTGACCTTGCCCCACCGAACTTATCTCCAATTATCTTGACTCCATTTTCTCCCCCCTGGTCCAGGAACTCCCCACCTACGTCTGTGACATCACCCATGCCCTCCACCTCCTCCAAAACATCCGATTCCCTGGTCCTCAACATGTCATCTTCGCCATGGACGTCCAGTCCCTGTTTACTTGCAATCCCCATGCAGATGGCCTAAAAGCCCTCCGCTTCTTCCATCTCCCGCAGGCCCGACCAGTCCCTCTCCACCGATATCCTTATCCGCTTAACTGAACTTGCCCTTAACCTGAACATCATCTCCTTCAACTCCTCCCACTTCCTACAGACAAAGGGGGTGGCCATGGGTACACGCATGGGCCCAAGCTATGCCTGCCTCTTTGTAGTATACATGGAACAGCCGCTGTTCTGCAGCTACACTGGCCCCATCCTCCATTATATCGATGGCTGTATCGGTGCCGCCTCGTGCTCCCGCGAGGAACTCGAGCAGTTCATCCACTTTACTAACACCTTCCACCCCAACCTTAAGTTCACCTGGACCATCTCTGATACCTCTCTCTCCTTCCTGGACATCTCTGTTTCCATCTCTGGCAACCACCTGGAAACTGATATCTATTTCAAGCCCACCGACTCCCACAGCAACCTCGAATACACCTCCTCTCACCCACCTTCTATTACCATCCCCTATTCCCAATTCCTTCGCCTCTGCCGCATCTGCTCCTGAGATGAGGCATTCCACTCCCAGACATCGCAGATGTCCTCGTTTTTCAAGGACTGCAATTTCCCATCCACAGTAGTCAAAAATACCCTTGACCGCATCTCTCGCATTTCCCGCAACTCATCCCTCACACCCCACCCTCCACAATAACAACAAAGACAGAATCCCTCTTGTCCTCACGTATCACTCCACCAACCTCCGGATTCTACGCATCATCCTCCGCTACTTCCACCACGTACAATCTGACCCCACTACCAAGGACATTTTCCCCTCCCCACCCTTATTTGCCTTCCGGAGGGACAACTCTCTCTGTGACTCCCTCATCCGCTCCACACTCCCCACTAGTCCCACCACCCCTGGCACTTTTCCCTGCAACCGCAGGAAGTGCTGCACCTGCCCCGACACCTCTTCCCTCATCCCCATCCCAGGCCCCAAGAAAACATTCCACATTAAACAGATGTTCACCTGCACATCTGCTAATGTGGTGTATGGTATCCACTGTTCCCGTTGTGGCCTCCTCTACATCGGGGAAACCAAGCAGAGGCTTGGAAACTGCTTTGCCGAACACCTACGCTCGCATCGTGACAAATGACTGCACCTCCCAGTCGCAAACCACTTCAACTCCCCCTCCCACTCCTTGGACGGTATGTCCATCCCAGGCCTCCTCCAGTGCCACAACGATGCCACCCGAAGGCTGCAGGAACAGCACCTCCTATTTCGCTTGGGAACCCTGCAGCCCAATGGTCTCAATGTGGACTTCACAAGCTTCAAAATCTCCCCACCCCCAATCTCATCCCAACACGTCCCCGTCTCCTTGACCTGTCCATCTTTTCGCCCACCGATCCGCTCCTCCCACCTCACTGACCAACCCCCACCCACACTTCCTGCCTCCTAGTCTCATCCCCACCTCCTCGAACTGTCCGTCTTCCCTCAACTGACCAACCCCCATCCCAACTCCTTACCTATACTTACCTTTACTGGCTCCAGCCCCACCTCCCTGACCTGTCCATCTTCTCTCCACCTATCTGGTCCTTTATCCACCTGCCATCATCGTCTCCTCACCTCTCTCTATTTATTTCAGAGTCCCCTTCCCCTCCCCCATTTCTGAAATAGGGTCCAGTCCCAAAACGTCAGCTTTCCTGCTCCTCTGATGCTGCCTGGACTGCTGTGTTCATCCAGCTCCACACCTTGTTACCTCCCTCAAAGAAAGACATCACATTGTTACATAGTTTCAACAACCATGTGTGACAAGTAGTGTTACTGACAAGTAGCAAATCACTACAGACACATACACAAACGTGCTTACTGATTCAGACTGAGTCCCAAGTATGCTCATTGTATCAACACATAAGATACAAAGACTAACAACAATGTATACCCATACACACTACAGGTAACAGAAGTGAATACATACAAAATGTTTATGGCTTTTTTTTTATATAAGCAGAGGAGTCTACAGGACAGAACAAAGACCTTTCAGCCCATCAAGTTGATAGTAGACAAAAACAAGCACCTGACAATTCTAATTCCATTCAGCCAGCATTCCATTGCAATAAGTGTGTCATAGCAGTATACGATTTGCCAACCCCAACTTTATCACAACATAATTCTCAACTTGTTCACCTTCAGGAATAGAAACCATATTTTCCATCTATCTAGCTTTTTTTTTTTGAAAAAAGAACATTGTTTAACTTTGTTTCCGAATTCACTTTAGTTTTGTACAGTGTCACTTGCCCCTCCCAATGAAATATTGCAAAAAAGCAATAAAATAGAATGCAATTTTTTCACATTAATGATATAATCACCATTTAAAGCAATGAAGAATGATCCATTTAACTAAATCTTGTAATTGTTAAATTTTATCATCTTTTAGCAAAAAGAGTTCAACCATGTTCAATAAGGTTAAATCTTCTCCACTGTAAGACAGAAAATACAAGTCCTTTTGCTTTCCTCATCCCCACCACAGAGCTTTATAAGAGTATTGCTGATGGCTTGCACCATTACACCACAGAGCAGGGTTATGTGATATCCATGATAGAATAATTAAGTGAATTAGCCAATACTCTTTCCTGCAGAAGGAACATTGTGGTCATTCAGCTGAATACAGTTGATTTGTTCATTGCCCTTTCCCTTAGACTCTAACAAAGGAAGTCACATCTATCCATTCCTCAGCATTATTCACAAAATTATGTTACTTTGCACGAGAAAAGCTGATGACATCCTGAAGAACAGCCCTTGATATAATTTCTCCCAGTTAAACTCTGCACTGTTGGAGTTACAAAACCCTTTGCTTTTACATTACACAATCTATTACACAAAACAAATGCATGGAGCAAAAACTGACAGGTATGGGTTGATAACTGCACTCATACATTCTCAAAGCAGAAACTGACAGGCATGGATTGATAAATAAATTCACAGATTCACGAAGCAGCAGCTGGCATGTACAAATTGATAACTATACTTAGATATTCACAGAGCAGAAACATACAGAGAAAGATTGATATCTGTACTCTTATTCATGTTGTAGAAACATATATGTACATATTGCTAACTACACTCAAACACATACATCAGAAACTGACAAGGAGAAATTGCTATTTATATTTCTATACCAGAACAGGCAGGTCCGAATTGCTAAGCACATTCACATATTCACAGCACACTCACTGGCTGATAGGGAAAGATTGATAAATGCCCTGAAATAGTCACGTAACAGAGATTGCCAGTTACAGATTAATAACTGCACACTCAGATACACAGAGCTGGAACTGACAGGGACTGACCGGTAAATAGACTCAGACGTTCACATGGCAGTTACTGACAGAGAAAGTTTGATAACAAATCTATCATATCCACGTAGCAAAAACCGACAGGAACAGATTAATAATAAAATTCCCAGTCTCACATTGTTTAAATTGACAGGTACAATTTTATCACTAATCTGACATTTTCACAGAGCAAAATCTGGCAAGTACAGATCGATGACTAAACTCACATTGACAAGCAAATATAAACAGGTACAGAAATGACAACTCACGCATTGACCATCAGAAACCGAAGGTATAGATGCACAACTATACTCATTCACATGGCAATAACGGAGAGCTACAGCTTGATAACTACAGTCACCCACCTGCATTACTGTAACTGTCAGGGACAGATTGATGACACTCACACATTCATATGACAGAAATTGACCAGTACTGATTAACAACTAAACCCACATATGGAAATAGCAGAAACTGACAGAGACTGATAATTATACTCTCATTATCATTGCAGAAACTGAGATTTATAACTGCACTCTCACATTCACATAACAGAAACTGAGAGTACAGATTTGATAACCGTAGTCGCACATTCATATTGCAATAAGTGACAGGGATGGAATGATCCTACCTATGAAATATTATAAGAAAGCAAGAAAACAATGTCATTTGTTCAAATTATCAACACAGCTTCCCACAAAATCCTGATATCCTGAAAATCTACAAAAACTAGATCAGGTCCTGGTGATTTAGCCACGTTTTATGTTTTTTTTTACTGCCTCTAACACCTCCTGTTATGTCATGTGGACTGTTTTCAAAACATCCATATTTATTTGCCAAGTTCCCTCTCCTCCACAAGGACAGAATGATAACTAAACTCTTATTCAAATAAGAGAAACAGATGGGGAGAGAATGATAATTACTCACATTTGCAAACCTGAAACTGACAAGTGCAGATGAATAACTACACTCAGATTTACAGAGCAGAAGTTGATGGTGACAGCATGATAACTGCTCTCACATACTCACAGAGCAGAATCTGATGGTATTTGTTCATAACAGAACTCTTACATTCACCTTGCAGAAACTGACAGGTATAGATTAATAACTGCACTCTCAGATTGACAAAGCAGAAACTGACAGGAACAATTTGATAAATACACTCACATAGCAGAAACTGACAGGTACAGATCAACTCTCTCGAATTGACATTGTAAACCAAGAAAAATTAGTACAAATTAATAACTGCAGTCAATTACTGTCATTGCAGACATTGACAGGTACAGGATGATAACTTTCATCACATTTAAAAAAAACAGAGACTGGCAGAGACAGATTGATAACTGCATTCCCACATGTTTCCTTTTTTTTTATTCATTCATGGGATGTGTGTGTCACTGACTATCCCTAATTGTGCACAGAAGGCAGTTAAGTGCCAACCACATTGCTGTGGGTCTGGAATCACATGTCGGCCAGACCAGGTAAGGATGGCAGATTTTGTTCCCAAAAGGACGTTAGAGGACCAGATTATTTTCGTGGAGAATTGGCAGTAAACTCTTATTTTTAGTTTATTGTTGAATTAAAATTCCACCATCTGCCATGATGGGATTGGAACCGGGGTCCACAGAACAATATCTGGCTCTCTGGATTAATAGTCCAGCAATAATACCATTAGACTATTGCCTTTTCTATTCACATTCACATAGCTGAACCTGACAGTTTTGGATTGGTAACTACACGCTCAAATGCATGGAGGTAAAAGTGACAGAATATATTGATAACTGCACTCTTATATTAACAGAAGGGTTGCTGACAGGAACGGATTGATAACTGTATGCACAAATTCATATTGCAAAAATTGGCACATACAAATTGATAAATGCACTCACACATTAGCAAACCAGAAACTGATGGGCAGAGGGTAATAACTAATGAATTAATAATTAATAATTCACAGAGCAGAAACGTACAGGTATAGTCTGATAATTACACAAGAATATTCACTGGGGAGAAACTGACAAGGTCCATATTGATAACGACAATCATATTCACACAACAGAAACTGGTTGGTACACATTGATAAGCACACTCTCTCAATTACAGAACAGAAACTGACAGTCACAGACTGATAACTACATTTTCATATTCACGTGTCTGAAAATGACAGGTACGATTTAATGAATATGGTTGCATTTTTACAAGCAGAAACACTCAGGGTTATGTTAATAACTGCACCCAAACATTCACATCTCAGGAACTGACAGGTAAAGATGAAAAACCAAGCTCACATATTGACATAGCAGAAACTGAGAGGCATGGATTGATGCCTGCACTCTTACGTTCAGATAGCAGAAAACGACAGGCACAGATGGATAAGTATAATCACCTTGCAGATACTGATACGAACATTCCCACATCACAAACTAACAGGTAAAGACTTCCAACGACATTCTCATATTCACAAAGGAAAAAAAAAAGCTGTCAAGTACAGTTTGATAACTGTACTCAAATAATCACAGAGCAGAATCTCACAGGTACATGTTGATAACTACTCTCTCACATTCACCTTGCAGAAATTGACAGATACAGATGGATAACTACACTGACACAGACACAGCTCAAACTGACAGGAACAGGTTGACAACTACACTCATTCCTTCACGTGGCAGAAACTGACAGCTACAGATGATAACCACCACTCTCATATTCACAGAGCAGAAACTGACAGGTTTACAAGTTGATAATCACATTTACATACTCACAACACACATACTGATAAGGAATGATCAACATATTCACCTAGCAGAAACTGACTGGTACATAATGATAACTACATTTATGTATTCATAAAGCTGAATCAGACAGGTACAATTTGATAACTAAACTCATATTGAAATAGCAGAAACTGAAAGTTAGAGACTGATAGCAACACTCTCAATCTCATAGCTGAAACTGCTAGGTGTTGGTTGATATCTACACTGAAATTCACATCACAAGAAGTGGCAGGTACAGATTAATTCCTTTCTTAGATATATAGAGGAGACACTGACAGGGACAGGTTTGGAATTACACTCTCATAGTCACATAATAAACTCACAGGAACAAATGGATAATAACACTCCCACATCACATAGCATAAAATCACAGATACAGTTTGATATTTACACTCAATTTCACACAGCAGAATCTGACAGGTACAGATAACTGCACTCATTTACTGACTTGGCAGAAACTGACGGGCATAGATTCAAACTTGCGCTCATGTATTCACATTGCAGAAACTGACGGGTGCACTCTCGTATGCAGTGAAAATTTCCTGACAAAATTTGAATATGTTATCCATCTCTAAAATTTATCCAAAATTTGATAAAGATGTTGAAATATTCACAGGGCAGAATAACACATGTATATACTGATAATAACACTCTCGCATTCACCGAAGGGAAATTAACAGGAAAAATTTGATAAGTACATCATACATTCATGTTGCAGAGACTGTCAGGAGCAGTTGCTTCCAAAATTCTCATATTCACAGAGCGGAATCGATCAGGGATAGACTAACGATTACACATGCACATTCAGCAAGCAAAACTGACAGGTATAGCTTGGTAACTACATTTACAGATTCACACACAAAAGTCTGACAAGAACAGACCGAAACTAAATTCACAAATAAACTCATAGCAAAAACTGACAGGTACAGAATTATAAATACATTTGCACATTCTCAAAACCAAAACCTAACAGTGAAAAAATGATAAATAAACACTCTGATTCAGAGAGCAGAAACTGATGAGGAAAGATTGATAAATGCACTAACACGTGCACATCGCTGAGACTGAAGGGAACAGATTGACAAATACACCCACACTCTCAGAGCAGAAACTGACAGCGACAGATTGATAACTACACGTGTGTATTCACATGGAAGAAAGTGGCATGGACAGATTGACTGTAGATTGATAACCACAGTCACACTTTCTCATTGCAGCAACTGAGTGGGACATATTGATTGACAATCACTTGTTCACATGTCAAAACTGACAGGTGGAGACTTAAAATGACAGTCAAATTCACACAGCAGAATCTGACAGGCATTGATTAATAACTGCACTTACACATTCACATTGGCTGAAACTGACCGGTACATATTGATAAATGCATTCCCACATTAACAAACCAGAAACTGACAGGTACAGATTAATACTGACACTTTCAGATGAACAGAGCAAAACTGACAGGGACAGGCTGGAAAGTAAACTTGGACATTGAAATTGCAGAGACTGACGGGTACATATTAATAATTGTATTTGGATTTTCACAGGTAGAGATGGATAACTACATTCAAATATTCATACAGAAAAAGTTGGCTGGTACAAATTGATAAGTATATTGACACATCCACAAAACGGAGACTAAGATGACAAATTGATCAATACATTGACATTACAGAAACTGACGGTGCTTTAAGCTGTGGGGCAATGGGCTGTGTGCAGGAAGGTGGGATTAGAATAGCCATCTGTTTGTCTTTGGGTTGGAATGGACAAGATAGGCCAAACAGCCCTCTTCAGTGCTATATCATTTCAATGGATGTATGGTTCTATATCAATCTGTCCCTGTCAGTCTCTGCTGTGTGAATACACAAGTAATTTAACAAAGGCTTAGATTGTGTGAGTGTAGTTATCATTCACCAAGTAGGAACTGACATGAATAGATCAATAACTAAACTCATATTCACAGACCCACTTGCATTGGGTAGCCCCATTCATGGAACTGTACACCTGTTGGTTAGTTTCTGGACTTCACTCAATTGGTATGGAATTAACAAAAAGAAAAATCACCAGACAGGGAGCAGCTTAGAGCAAGAGTGGCATCAGACACACAATTCTGTTCAAATTCCTGGCTTGAAATAAAATATTGTAATGATTATTAACTAAACATTGCATTGATCAATTAAATATTATCAAACTTGGCTGATGTTGATCTACAGGAGGTTTTTCTTCTGTCTTTCTCCAGGCAAATACTTGAAGGACTAAGAGAAAGTGATATTCCCTCGGTACAAAGCCAAGTGTGACCAGCTGCTTCTAACAAACAGAAGGTATTTTACCGCTGTCAGAGCAGAGAACGTCCTTCCCACAGGCACAGAGCAGATTGAGTCAGACATACATTGAAGTCAATTTCCAGCGAGATATGCTCAAACAACACAGAGGAAATACAAGTTTTTTTTTCACCATTCACAGTGCACACCTGCCCAGTTTGAACAAATTTCAGCATTTTAAGTTTGGCAAAGATCTGCAGCTCGGGTAGTGGATAATGTTGCCGACTTGCTCGCTGAGCTGGCTTGTTTTTGTTCAGACGTTTTCATCACCATGCTCGGTGACATCATCAGTGGAGCCTCTGATGAAGTGATGTGTTCTACTCCTCGTGGAATTTATACCGTCCGGTCTGTTATGGTGAGTACTGTCATTTCTGGTTTTGATCTGTATGAGTTTATATATGGGGTCCGATTCTATATGTTTGTTGATTGAAGTATGGATGGAAAACCATGCCTCTAGGAATTCCCATGTGTGTCTATGTTTGGCTTGGGCTACTATGGTTACTTTGTCCCAGTTAACCAGATGACCTTCATTGTCTGAATATACAATACATTCAGACAATGAAGGCCATCAGTTGAAATGGGACAAAGTAACCATATAAAAACTGAAAGAACTGTGGATGCCGTAAATCAGGAACAAAAACAAAGTTGCTGGAAAAGCTCATCAGTAACTGGTTCTGAGGAAGGGTCACTGGACCCGAAAGGTTAACTCTGTTTTTCCCTTCACAGATTCTGCCAGACCAGCTGAGCTTTTCCAGCAACTTTGTTTTTGTTGGACAAAGGAACCATAGTAGCCCAAGCCAAACATAGACACGCACAGAAATTCCTAGAGGCATGGTTCTCCACACAAACATATAGAATTGGACCCCATATATAAACCCATACAGATCAAAACTGAAATGACAGTACTCACCATGATGGACCAGACAGTATAAATTGCACGCGGAGTAGAACAACATCGCTGCGTGGAAGTCTCCACTGATGATATCACCGAGCATAGTGGCGCAATGTGTGAACAAAAACAAGCCAGCTCGGTGAGCAAGTCAACGTCACATTTCAGCATTCATAGCCCATTGACATTTACACCATTTTTGAAGATGGAAGGACCGAATACTCGTCCCAAATATACACTCAGGAACTGAATCTCAGCTGCGTTAAATCACCCTAATAACAACTACCACATAACAAATCACATTCTCCCTGAGAATATTATTGGCTGCTCGAGAGTTAAGCCACATTATCAAATCGAAACTGACAAGCATGTATTGATAGCTCTGCTCATTCATTCATATTGCAGAAACAGGCAAAAACAGATTGATGATGACACTCACATATTGACATAGCAAAATTAACAGGTAAAGTTTGCTGAAAACATTCACAAATTCACATTATAAAAATGGATATGTACACATTAATAACTATGCTCATATATCAAACTAACAGGACCTGACATATCCACATCACAGAAACACAGAAGAACAGAATGATAATAACACTCCCAGATTCACAGCATAACCTGACAGGTCCAATTTTATAACTGCATTCAAATATCCACAGATTTTAAAAAAAAAACTGTCAGGTGCAGTATGATAACTACACTCCAATTTTCACAAGCAGATTCTCACATTACTAACTTCACATATCCATACAGCAGAAACTGACAGGAACAGCTTAGTAATAACCTTCCCAGTGTCTCTCAGCATGAACTGACAGGTACAGATTAATAACTGCATGCATATCAACAGTGCAGAATCTGACAGCTGCATATTGATAACTACACATGCACACTCTCTCACACACACTCTGAGCAGAAAATGACAGATATAAATCCATAACTAAACATACAAATTGACATTGCAGAAACTGACAGGCTATTTGGATAACTACAGTCATATCTTCTCACAGCAGAAACTGACAGGGACATGTTGATAACTCGTCACACCATTAATATTGTGGTAATAGTGATGGATAGATTCATGACAGTCCGATGTTCACATGACAGAAACTGCCAAATAACTACATTCTCATTCACATTGCACTTACCAACAGAAACAGGTTAATAACTACAATTACAGATATCAGAAAGTATGAGGTACAAATGAATAACTGTGCTGAAACATTCACCTAGCAGAAACTGGCATTACAGATCAGTAACTGAACTCAAATGTTGAAATAGCAGAACCTGTCAGGTAGAGACTGAAAGTGCTAAAATAAAAACTGACTGGTACAGATTGATAAATAAAATCACATTCAAATTTCAGAAACTGGCAGGGACAGATTGGTAAATACGCTTACACATTCACACAACAATAACTGTCCTAGAAAGATGAGTAAGCACACTCGTATTCACAATGCAGAAATTGATAAGAGCAAATTGATAATTACACACCCAGTTTCACAGCAAATTAACTGACAGGTACAGTTTTGATAACTACATTCACATGTTCAGACAAGAAGCTGACAGGCATGTATTGACACTCACATATGCACCTAGCAGAAATTGACAGGTCCAGATCAATCTGGACATAGCAGAAACTAAGAGGGCCAGGGTATTAACTACAGTCACACCCTTGAATTGCACTAACTGACAGGGACACATTAATGACAACAATTACATTTTCACGTGATAGAAATGGACAGGTACAGATAATAAATACATTTCCATATTCCCAATGCAGAAACTGAGAGGCTGTGAAATGAACATAAACATATGGATAACTAAACTCTCATTCACAGCAGAAATTGGTAAATACACACACACACGTACATAGCAAAGACCTGATAGCGACAGATTGATAACTACAATTACACATTCACACAGAAGAGAGCTTCGGGGATAGACTGATAATTACACAAGCATAATCACTGTGGAGGAACTGATTGGTACAGATTGATTACTACACACACACATTCGGTCAGCAGAAACTGATGGACAGATTGTGAGGGAGTAATAATCATTCACCTCGTGGAAGCTGAAATGGCAGATCGATAACTGCACTCCCATTTTTACACAGCCAATAATGAGAAATAAAACTAACCCTTAGTCAACCTGAAATTCTGAACAACACAATATCATTCACACTGTAATCAGAGATAGTGATAAAACAAAAAAAACTACACAGAAGAGATTGTCACAATTAAAATTTGCAAAAGGTACTGTGTTCAAAATATTCTTAAATGACAATAATCAGTGTGAATACAACTGACGTATTGACAAATAAAGTTCAGAGAAAATCCATGAAAAACAATTATTGCTAGAAACTGAAATGCACAAAATAACATCCACACAAAGCAAGATTCCAGGAACTAAAATGTAGGCAGAAAGCTGCTGACACTGATTGAAGAGCCTAAGGGATAGAGTAAAATTTGTGTAATCAGCAGAAAGCGAAAGGCACGGGTCACAGTACATTCGTTCTCTTTTGTCATCGAGGTAATTCGAGTAAAACTGATACCGACACACGCTGGCAGGTATTCTGAGGAAAGTGTAAATAGTTTGGGCCTCTATTCATTGGAGATTTGAAGAAGGACGTCAAACGTTTCCAGGAAACGAAAACTGAAGGGTGTTGACAGAGCAGATGCTGGTATAATGTCCTTAAACTTCAGAGAGTGCAGAACAAGAAACACAAGCGAGACAGAAAATTCCCTAACTCCAGTGTTCATCAAGCACGATGTAATTGTCAAGCAGTTCCATCATTTCCAGGAGTGAAACACACCACTGCCAGATTTCAGTGCATTTTGTCACTTGACAACGAACGTGATGACATTTTTAAACGGAGGAGAAAAGAAAACCATTATCAAAAGATGTAGAAGAAATCGCGATTAGGATCTCACGGTTTAGAGAAAGCTCGGAGTTTGGTCCGTGTACAAAATTTCGATTTGCGTTTGAAATTTCATTGCAGATCCTGGCAGATCCACGTTGTGTCCCACACTAACCAATCACAGAAAGGCTAATGTCATGTTTTAACATTCCGGAACAAGGCTTTCTCCCATCCTTTATTAGCATTGCTGACGCCATCAGGCTATAAAAAGCGAGCTCTGAGCCCGCTTTTTCTTATTCTGTGTTGGACATTGACTGTCGCAGTGGTAGAGGAAAAGAAAGGACAAGTTGCCAAGAAGGGCGCTAAGAAAGCGGTGAAGAGGGCGCCGGTGAAAAGCGGCAAGAAGAGAAGGTCCAGGAAAGAAAGTTACTCCATCTACATCTACAAAGTGATGAAGCAGGTTCACCCCGACACCGGCATCTCCTCCAAGGCCATGAGCGTCATGAACTCATTCGTCAACGATATTTTCGAGCGTATCGCGGGGGAGGCTTCCCGCTTGGCCCATTACAACACGCGCAGCACCATCAGCTCCCGGGAGATCCAGACCGCCGTGCGGCTGCTGCTGGCCGGGGAGCTGGCCATGCACGCCGTGTCGGAGGGTACAAGGGCGGTGACGAAGGACACCAGCTCCAAGTGAGACACCACATTGTACTGAGAAAAACGCATCCAAAATCCAACGGCTCTTTTAAGACCCACCCACAGCTTCCCTGAAACAGCTGAACTGTTATGTTAATATCTCTACGACATTCGCGTTTTATAAATCTTCTGTAAATTAACAAGTGATCCCTGACCCTGTGCGCGCTTGTTCATACACATCTGTAATCGCTGCCTGTGGACAGGGATCATGTTAAACACCAATGAGCTATGTTGAGCAATTTCTGTCTGATCGTGTTACCCTCGTGTCACTCGATCGATTCAGAAGCTACAAGACCCGGTGGGGTATGAACCGTAACTTTCACTCGCGGCAAACAAAAGGGCAAGCAAGAAAATATACTTTTCCTCCGAGTTCCGTTTCACCCTTTTGTTTTATTTCCAGATCTCCTCGCGGGTTTTGTTGGGTTGCTGAGGCTTTTTGCTGTCGGGGAGATACTTTCAAAATGAGCCGATATAAAACCAGAACAGCTGCCGGACTGGCATAGTAAACGTGGAGCTTTTGCTGAACTCTGATCGAGTGCAATAAGGGAGGGCTGCTTTTAAATATTCTCGAAAAACGGTGTTCGCAATTAATGCGCTCACCCGGAAGAACGTTATCCGAATGTTTTATCAACTTATCGGGTGTTGTTGAAATGCGAAATAAATTAGTTGCAGAGTGCAGATTTTGGCGCTTTTTTGTTTCCTATTGCATTTAATTTTCAGAAAATCCAATTCTACGTCAGAAATTGACATACTCAAGGTTAGGGAAATGAGGGAAAGGGAGATTATGTAAAGTATACATTCAGAATCGAAGAGTAAATTAACTCGAGCATTCGCGCATTCTATTGTGTTAAACTTCCTACTTTTTGGAACATATTGGCGGGCTTTTCAAATCAGAAAGAAAGCGGTTGATGATTTGGCGCCGGTATTTTCCGGCCTCCTTCCCGGATTGGTGGGTGAAGCAGATATCTGATTGGGAATTGAAACGACATTAGGAGAAGCTAAACAATGTGGCCAATCAGCAATGACCGCACCCCTATTCCTCCCGAAGGTATAAGAGGCCGGGATGTGGGCGGGTTGCAGCATTCTCTGTGAAAGTGCTAATGGGGTTGTGATTATGTCTGGGAGAGGAAAGGGCACTGGTGGGAAAGCTCGCTCCAAGGCGAAGTCCTGGTCGTCCCGGGCTGGCCTGTAATTCGGACATCAAACAATTAATACACAAAAAAAACATTCCGACAGAGGGCATGGTCTAGCTTCTTTCACTGATGTTTTTTTGTGTATTAATTGTTTGATGTCCGTTTCAGTCCCTTTGCTATTTGATACTCTTACTGTCACTGTATGATCTAATATGAAATCCTTACTAACAGACTGCAGTTAGTCACGTTCACGGAACAGCTGAAACGCATAGAGAGTGAAACGTTTATCACGAATTTATAATGAATCGCATTTGTAATAGCGTTCGGATTGCATTACTTATTATTGCTCTGTAACTGCCTGTGACTTTTATCATCGTCATATAAATGCATCTCAGTCCCTCGCTCACAACCAGTTTCATATTTCCTGTAACTGCATTTAAGAAGAGCTAAAATGACCCAATGCATCAAGTAGTAAGTACGAGATAACACATTGTGGAGCTTTAGGAGCGCAGTAGGCCAGGCAGCCGGAAAGTTGACTTTTTGGGTGAGGACCCTTTTTCTGAAAAAGTCAAATTTCTTGCTTCTCTGCTGCCTGGCCTGTTGTGTTCCTCGAGCTCCACATTGTGTTATCTCAACATCCTGGTAAATCTTTTCTGAAGCTCCTCCAGTGCAATAATATCCTTCCCTAACAGGGTGACCAGAACCTGATATAGTGCTTCAGTAAAAGTCTCAAAAATGTCCTGTACTCAAAAGGAGTGAGTCATGAAGCCAGGTGCCACGTGGTCTACAGCTAATGCAAACTTTAAAGAACGATATACTTGACCCATTAGTTCTCTCTATTCTACAATACTATCCAAGGCCCGACTTGTATCTGTACAAGATCTGCCGCTCTGTTTTTCAAAAATGCAATGCCTCTACTTCCATCTGCCCGTCCTCAAGCCATTGACCCAATTGATCACGATGTCTTTGTAATCTTTGATAACCATCTTCACTGTCCACTATGCCACTAATTTTGGTGACATCTTCAAAATTACTACCCATGCCTTCTAAATTCTCATCTAAATCATTTATATAAATGATAAACAAAAGTGGACCCAATACAAGTTGGAGTGGAACACCACTAGTAACAGGCCTCCGGTCCAGAAAGCAACTGCCAAGCCGTCTCCGTCTCCTGCCATCAAGCCAGTTTTGTATCCAATTTACAGCCTCACCCCAAGTCCCATGTAATCTGGCCTTATTATTTTGTCTGCCATGAAGAACATTGTCAACGACTTTGTGTAGGAACTTACCCTCCTCATTCCCACGCTTCCCCCCTCAAACTCTGGCCAGAAACAAATACTCAGGACGCAGACAGGATTCAGGTAAGTGGAAGATGTTTATTCAAGAAGAAACCAGTTAATGCAGGGAGAGGGCCAAAGGATTTTCCACAAATCTGTTCTCGATGTGAGAAAGCATTTTTCCCTTAATCTACAGCTCAGATCGGAAGAGAGATCAATGAGCCACTTTGATTTTACAAGGAATTACAGCATTTTTATACACTACATGTTACAATAATCAAATGCAAAGTAGTCACTGTCCTTCACCTTAATCCAAACACCCAACTCCATGGGACACCGAATCAATCATGGTCATAGGAGCAGCCTAGTTTCTCATCATCTCATGGTGTTTACGAGACATTGTCATCACTGGGCCTTGGGGATCTTTCTATGCATCCTATTAATTCACATTCTATAAGTTATTAGCTATACTCCTGGTCCGTCCGAGACTTTATCTCTGAGAGCTGTTTGAATCCTATTATTTGTGGTATTATGTGTGACCCCTTTCTAAAAGGATTGATTAAATTTGATATTTCCCACCATCCTGCTATATATATGGCATTTAGTTTTAAGTAACAGCTACATGATTAGTTCTAATCTTATAACAGTAATTAAAGTGTAAAGTTCTACAGCTACTTTTACCGCTAGCACTTTGTCACTAATGAATTGGATCAATCTATCTTGTTTAGGATGTAAAAAAGGCATGTTCTAAAGCTGATTCACTTTCACATGGGTTTATATATATTTTCCTCAACTGCTTGCATTATATTCTGGTTATATGTTGAAAACTACTTCTGTGATTATCAAAATAATTCTTTAAACAGAACCTTTTTTTCTTAATACTACAGTTTAAAAAGCTAACTGCTATGAAATACCTTTAGCTGTTGTTCTTTTTTGTAGCTTTTTAGGGAGTTAATCTGAGCTAAGATTTAGACCCCTGGTGCTCTGTCTCTAGTGGAGCAACATCCTTTCATTGAGACTGGAGTCATTTGTCCGTTCTTAGGCATCCTCTTATCAAAACTGACTTGATGCTGCTTGGCCTGCTGTGTTCATCAAGCTCTACACCCCGTTGTCTCAGATGATGGGTTGCAGGGTCTTTCTACGACCTTGGCAGATCTCTTCCAAGGTATTAGTATGTTTCACTTTAAATGTTAGAACAGACCACCCCATTCTGTTTAGTCCTTGTGTGTCTTTGTTCAAACAGGGGCCGCTTTGTTATATGCAGGTCACCCCTACACTTCACTAAAGTCCAAGTAAACAAAGTCTACCACTCTGCTCTCAATCATCTTGGTTACTACCTCAAAAAATTCAATAAATTTTGAGATATGATTTCCCTCACTCAAAACCATGCTGACTATCACTAACGATTCTTTGAAAACCCCCACCTACCCCATACATATGAATCTTATTTTTCGGAATCACCTCGAACAATGTACCCACCACATAATTCAGACTCACAGGCCTATACTTACTAAGCTTTTCCTTACATCCCTTCTTGAAAATAAAGGCACATTAGCCTACCTCCAGTCATGCCGCACCTCACTATAGTTATCGATGATACAAACGTTACTGCAAGGGTTTCTGCAATTTCCTCCTTAACTTCCCACAATATCCTCAATACAGTATATCAGATTCTGGACATTTATTCAACTCTATGCTTTCTAAGACCTCCAAGGCTTCCTCTTCTGTAATATGAACTGTTTTCAAAATATCAATATTTATTTCCCAAGTTCTCGAGCTTCTATTTCTCTCCCCCAACAATTTTATTTGTGAAATATTTGTTTTCTATTACTCCTGTCTTCTGAGTTTCAAAACTCAAATAGGTAGCCTTTGTATTAAGAGCTCGACTCCTTCTCTCTAATCTCTTGCTTGCTTTTAATGATCTTGTAGAATCTCTTTGGATTATCCTAAACCTTAACACCAAAGCTATCTTGAATCCCCTCTTTGCTTTCCTGATCTCTTCAGAATGCCCCTACACTCCATAGTGCTCCCTCACTATCACATCAGTAACTAGCCCTGCCATATTACCGATGAAAAGATCATTTTTTTCTCCTGTATCTACACTCATTTGAACCCAGTTGTCTCTATCTAATACGATTTCTTTTGTATTCCCAACGAGAACCTCAATATCTTTATTAATCCATTGTTCCTTTATCCTACCAGCCTTACCTTTTACTCTAAGATGATCATATTAACCCTGAACTTTCACATGACACTTGTGAATGCCCAGCACTTATCAGACATCCCCATACCTGTGAACACTCTACTACCAATGGGTGGCACAGTGGTTAGCACTTCAGAGCGCCAGGGACACAGGTGCGATTCCAGCCTTGGGCGACTGTCTGTGTGAGAGTTTGTACATTCTCCCCACATCTGCATGGGTTTCCTCCAGGTGCTCTGGTTTCCTCCCATGCTCCAAAGATGTGCAGGGTACGTGGATTGGCCAAGCTAAAATTGCCCATTGTGCCCAGGAATATTTAGGTTAGGTGGGTTAGATAGGGGAATGGGTCTGAGTTGGATGATCTTGGAGGACGGTGTGGACTTGTTGGGCCAAATTGCTGTTTCCACATTATAGGGATTCTATTATATGACTTTTGAAAGTTCTTGTCTCATACCATTAATATTTGCCTTACTTCAATTAAAAATTTTAACTTTCAAGGAAGTATTATCTTTTTCATAACTAATTTAAAGCTGATAGAATTACAATCATAGATCCAAAGTGTTCCTGCACTATCACATCAATCACTAGCCCTGCCCTATTACTGAAGAAAACGTTTTTTTTCCTGTCTCGACCAAGAATATTTACATGTTAAAGAACATTTTCTTGAACACAATTAGCAAGTTCTTCACTATCCAAACCTTTGACACCAGTGTAGTCCCACTCAACCTGTGGAAAATTAAAATCACCTATTACAACATTATTATCCTTACACATGTCTGAGATGTCTCTACATATATGTTCATCAATGTCCATCTGACTATTGTGGGGCCTATTAATACAATCTCATCAAGGTGATCATTCCTTTCCTATTTCTAATTTCAACCCATATATTTCCACTGGACAACTTTTAAGAAATATCTTCAATAGTTACAGCAGTAAGGTGTAAGCTGGAATAAGGGAGGGAGACTTTAAAACTGTAATGAAAACACGGTGTCCCTATCAATACACCCATCAGGAAGCACGTTCATGGAATCCAAACACAGCAGAAAGAGACCATTTGACTGATCGAATCTGAACAAACGTTCCGAAGAGCATATACCAAAGTAGGATTAATGAGCAATGGATGAATTAGATTATTAAGGTTCGACGTTGAGAATGGGGAAAAAAAAATTAGATATTGAAAATGAGGTTTAAAAGAATCTCTTGAACAGTATAAAAAGAATAGGTGCATTCTGAAGAGGGAGATCAGGAGGGCAAAGAGGGGATGTGAGATAGCGGTAAAGATAATCCGAGGAGACAACAAGGCGCAGGGCTGGATGAACACAGCAGGCCAAGCAGCATCATAGGAGCAGA